TGAGAGATGATACAGGTTCTATGGAGAATGAGGTTGAATCCATTTGGGTGGAAATTAGAAATTCTAAGAGGAAAAAGTCACTGATAGGTGTAGTCTATAGGCCACCAAATAATAACATCACATTGGGGCGGGCAATAAACAAAGAAATAACTAATGCCTGTAAAAATGGTACGGCAATTATCATGGGGGATTTTAACCTACATGTAGATTGGTCGAACCAGCTCGGTCAGGGCAGCCTTGAGGAGGTGTTCGTTGAGTGTATCCGTGATAGTTTTCTTGAACAGTATGTAATGGAACCAACGCGGGAGCAAGCTATCCTAGATCTGGTCCTGTGTAATGAGACAGGAATAATTAATGACCTCATAGTTAGGGATCCTCTTGGAAGGAGTGATCACAGTATGGTTGAATTTAGAATACAGATGGACAGTGTGAAGATAAAATCCAATACCAGGGTCCTGTGCTTGAACAAGGGGAACTACAATAGAATGAGGGAGGACTTGGCTAAAGTAAACTGGAAACAAAGATTTTATGGTGGGACAGTTGACGAGCAGTGGAGGACTTTCAAAGCAATTTTTCAAAGTGCTCAGCAAAAGTATGTTCCAATGAAAAGGAAGGACCGTAAGAAAGGGGGTAATCTGCCATGGGGGTCTAAAGAAATAAGGGAGGCTATCAAATTGAAAGAGAAGGCATACAAAGTGGCCAAAAACAGCATGAAACTAGAAGATTGGGAAAACTTTAAAGGTCAACAGAAAGCCACAAAAAGAGCTATAAAGAAAAGTAAGATAGAACATGAGAAAAAACTAGCACAAAATATAAAGACAGATAGGAAAAGTTTCTATAAATATATAAAACGAAAAAGAGTGGCTAAAGTAAACGTTGGCCCTTTAGAGCATGAGAAGGGAAATTTAGTTATGGGATATGATGAAATGGCCGAGGCATTGAACAGGTATTTTGTATCGGTCTTCACAGTGGAGGACACTAATAACATGCCAGTAATTGACAAAGAGATGAAGGTAGGGAGGACCTGGAAACAATCATAATTACGGAAGAGGTAGTGTTGGGCAAGCTAATGGAGCTAAGGATTGATAAGTCTCCTGGCCCTGATGGAATGCATCCCAGGGATCTAAAAGAGATGGCGGGAGAAATAGCAGGTGCACTGGTGGTAATTTTCCAAAATTCACTGGACTCTGGGGCAGTCCCAGCAGATTGGAAAACAGCAAATGTGACGCCACTGTTTAAAAAGGGAAGTACACAAAAGATGGGAAATTATAGACTGGTTAGCTTAAGCATCTTCCCCACTACAGAGGTTGAGTCTATTATCAAGGAAGAAATAGCAAGGCATCTTGATAGAAATTGTCCCGCTGGGCAGATGCAGCATGAGTTCATGAAGGGCAGGTCATGCTTGACAAATCTTTTGGAATTCTATGAAGACATTACGAGCAAGGTGGACAATGGGGACCCAGTGGATGTGGTGTACCTAGATTTCCAAAAGGCCTTCGACAAGGTGCCGCACAAGAGGCGACTGCATAAGATAAGGATGTATGGCATCAAGGGTAAAGTATTAGCATGGATAGAGGATTGGTTGACTAACAGCAAGCAAAGAGTGGGGATAAACAAGTGCTATTCTAGCTGGCAGTCAGTGACTAGTGGTGTGCCTCAGGGATCGGTGTTGGGACCGCAATTATTTACAATTTATATAGATGATTTGGAGTTGGGGACCACATGTAGGGTGTCAAAGTTTGCAGATGACACTAAAATGAGTGGCAAAGCAAAGTGTGCAGAGGACTGTGAAACTTTACAGAGGAACATAGATACATTGAGTGAGTGGGCAAAGGTCTGGCAGATGGAATACAATGTAAATAAATGTGAAGTCATACATTTTGGTAGGAGTAATAGTAAAAAGGATTATTACTTGAATGGTAAAAAGTTGCAGCATGCTGCTATGCAGAGGGACCTGGGTGTCCTTGTGCACGAATCACAGAAGGTAGGTCTGCAGGTACAACAAGTAATTAGGAAGGCAAATGGAATTTTGTCCTTCATTGCTAAAGGGATTGAAATAAAAAGCAGAGAGGTTATGTTGCAGCTGTACAAGGTGCTGGTGAGGCCACACCTGGAGTACCGTGTGCAGTTTTGGTCTCCTTACTTGAGAAAGGATGTATTGGCACTGGAGGGAGTGCAAAGGAGGTTCACTAGGTTGATTCCGGAGTTGAGGGGGTTGGTTTACGAGGAGAGACTGAGTAGATTGGGATTATATTCATTGGAATTCAGAAGATTGAGGGGGGATCTTATAGAAACATATAAAATTATGAAGGGAATAGATAAGATAGAAGTGGAGAGGATGTTTCCACTGGCAGGTGAAGTTAGGACAAGAGGGCATAGCCTCAAGATTAGAGGGAGCAGATTTAGGACTGAACTGAGAAGGAATTTCTTCACCCAGAGGGTTGTTAATCTATGGAATTCCTTGCCCAGTGGAGTAGTCGGTGCTTCTTCAGTAAATGTTTTTAAAGAAAAGGTAGATTTTTTTTGAACAATAAAGGAATTAAGGGATACGGTGAGAACGCGGGTAAGTGGATCTGAGTCCACGAAAGGATCAGCCATGATCTTATTGAATGGCGGAGCAGGCTCGAAGGGCCAGACGGCCTACTCCTGCTCCTCGTTCTTATGTTCTTATGTTATGTTTAAGCATAGATCTTTGGTTGGCAGAACAGGTTAGTCATGTAGTTAAGGCAGTATATGGGAGGTTTGCCTTTTTCAAATCAAGGTATAACAGCAAGGCTGTCATGTTGCAGCTGTACAAAAAAAAAAAAAAAAACTTTGGTTAGGCCACAGTTGGAGTAGTCTGTGCAGTTCTCGTCATCATATTGTAAAAAAGATATGATTGCACTGGAGGGAGAGCAGAAGTGATTCACCAAGATGTTGCTTGGGATGAAACAATTTAGCTAAGAAAGGAGGCTGGATAAGCTCTGGTTGTTTTCTTTGGAGCAGAGAAGGCCAAGAGAGACCTGACAGAGGTGTCTAAGATTAATAGGGGCAATGAAAAAAAATGGATAGGAAGCAGATGCTCCACTTAGTCGAAGGGCCAAGAACAAGGAGGCATAATTTTAAGGTGAAAGGCAGGAGGTTCACAGAGAATTTGAGGTATTTTTCCCCCCTTCAGCCAGAGGGTGGTGGGAAGCATGGAATGCACTAGCTTGGAAGGATAGTAGAGGGGGGTAACCTCATAAGCTTTAAAGAGGACTTATGAGCATTTGAAGGATTATAACATCCAAGGTGCCCATGGGTCTACTGCAGGAAAGTAGGGCTAGTGTAGGTGGTGGTGTTTTTGGCAGTGTAGTCCCAATGGGCCGAATGGGCTTTTCCGTACTGATTCTATGGTCTGATTCAGGGGAGGTGATCGCTTAGTGGTATCATCGCTCGTCTGTTAATCCAGAGACCCAGATAATGTTCTGGAGACCTGGGTTCGAATCCCGCCACGGCAGATGGTAGAATTTGCATTCAATAAATATCTGGAATTAACAATCTAACGATGACCGTGAATCCATTGTCAGTTGTCAGAAAAACCCATCTGGTTCACTAATGTCCTTTAGGGAAGGAAACTGCCATCCTTACCTGGTCTGGCCTACATGTGACTCCAGACCCACAGCAATGTGGTTGACTCTGAACTGCCCTCTGGGCAATTAGGGATGGGCAATAAATGCTGCCTAGCCAGCGACGCCCTCATCCCGTGAATGAATAAAGAAAAAAAAAAATTAAAGATAATTAAATTCAGAAAGACAAACATAAGAAGGATTGATTACACAGGCAAGTGATTGATTATTAGGACAACAATCCAGTCTGTGTCCAAATGCAGTCATGACAATATAAAAATGTTGCATGCTCACCTTTCTTTCTTCTTGGTCCTATATTCCAGTATTTCCCTTTACACAAAAAAAGTTTCCAGATTGATACAATCATCTTTTGCATGAGCTTCAAGCAAAACAAACTCCAAAACCAAGAACCAAATATACTATTCATCTCCATTTTAATTGGTTCACATCATGACAGGATAGACCAGCTATACCACTCTTTCATCTTTTTCACACTCGTGCATCTTTCCAAGTTTTCAACCAACTAGCTTCATGACTTCTGTGATGAGTCGGCAGCACTAACACAAATCAAATAGAGAGAATTCCATTTCCAATCATATTGGAAGTTCCAGACTGGTCAACTTCACTGCCAAATACTGAGTTGCATGCAAACTTCATCAGCATTACACAACTTGAGACACTGAGCGGACTAACATGAATTCAGGAAATTTGCTATCAAATCTTCTCCAAAGAGGGCGGGAACCACAATACTTCAGTGCATTCATTCTGGCAAGGTTCTCTGTTGAGAGTCACAACTGATTAAATTAATATTGATGAAATTTTCCAAACCAAACACTAATGACCAGAGTCTTAATTTGTTAGAACTAATGCTAGAATAATTGCGCACATCATTAGTGCACCGTTGCTATAGTGCAACTTTTCAACATTTACAGCTGTGACTTGATTCACCTATATTTCCAAACATCTTAAAAATAAACAACAATAGAATTCTCCACATTTACATGCCTTAATACCAAAGGAATGAAGGGTAGTCAGCAAGCTTCCTTCTCACTGTTTCAAATTCCTGCCTAATATATTCTGCTGCGTAAATGTAAATCAAATCAACTGTAAAATAACTTAATGCCTTCATGCAATCTCAGATCGATCAATCAATCCCAACAGTCGATTCAAAGTGACAACTTTTCTGTGGGGAGGCTGAACATATTTCTGCCATTTACAAAAGTGTGCACACAATTCTTAACAAGGGCCAATGTCTCACAAGAACGCAAACAATTCTTAATGACAAAAATCAAGTCTTACATTCAAACATGTACAGTATCTGGCCATTTAGAGGAGCAAAGCAGTATATCATTAAACAAACACAGAATGGCTTTAAAACAAAGTGTCAGATGAATTATCTAGAATATTTCTTACAATGCAAGAATCATTTCCTCCTGCATCTTCTGCAGAGAATCTAGCAGTAAAGGAAGAGCTTTATCATAATACTGTTCCTGGTGTAGTTGGGCTCCCTTGACTGCCAACACATACTGGTTATGCAAATTATGAAGTTTCATGGTGGCCTTGTCAAATCTGTCTTTGGCTTTTTCTGTCTCTTTGCCTGTAAGAAGAAAGAAAATGGAAACTTCAGAAATTCAACCTTTGTTACAAAGGAAATAAGCCTGCCATTTGCTGAAACATTCATTTGCGATTACTCAGTCTAAACCAATTCTTTGATGACAATTTTAAGTGAAACAACTCTCAACCTTAAATGTTACTAGTTTAATTTGTGGTTTTCAAAAGGAGACAGATTTTTGTTGGCTAAAAGATATCCTGACAAAGGTGGTATATGAAGTGTGGTGAATGATCAGCCATGGCCTCAATGAATAGCAGAACAGGCTCATGGATCCAGATGGCTTGCTCTGTTGCTGCACTCCAAAGTCTTCCCAGATTCCAAGTAATCGATTGGATAATATGCATTTACTCCTTTGGTGATCTTCTCAAAAGAATTCTAGATTTAAGGTGGATGGTTATTTGCTTTCAAAGCCATGTCATCTACTTTCTCTGATCTGTTCCATTCAAATAAAGGACAATCATGTTGAAATGATTGTCAGTTTCTGCTGCAAAAGTGCCCCAAGAAGACACAGAATGATCCAAAAAATAATAATATCCTGTGACAATTTTATATTTCAACTTGCCTTTTGAAAGAGCTTCTTTATATTTTTCCTTGGCGGTGGAGGCTTCTTTAGCTAGTTGTCTGTAGGCAGACTTCAGCTTTTCAAGTTCAGTCTTTGTTACCTGAATAGAAGTATTGAAAGGTTTTTATGAAAGTGGTGCTGTAAAGAGTGTTCATTTCTAAAAGGAAGCTGGGATCAAGGATAACAAATAGCATTTCTATTTAGGCACAAGTATAATGTGGTGAACATAGCCAGAGTGAAGAGGACTTTTGAAATCAGGTTACAAATTTCGCTGTAAGTATCATTGACACTGGAGGTTCTGTGTGGTCAGCAGAGAGAAACGATTGCTTAGGTTTGCAGCTACCACAGCTGGATGGGAGACAATTACGACCTCTAGTCAGAGTCACATTGCAGCCATCTAAAGATTCCAGGTTATTTGTTCTAACATGATCAGGGGAGAGAGTTGCACACTTTTTAAAAAACAGAAAATAGTGCATGAAGACAGTAACTTCAAGTTACATGTCCGTGAAAAGGGCATACAAAGCCCGCTGGAAGCTAGGAGCAACTATAGACTGCTTGCTGACTGTAAGCCCATGGTGAGAGTAATAAAATAAAAATGTTCAGTCAATAGTGCTTTCAGTCATTTGCTTCATTAAAAGCCTTAGATTTAGTGGGAGAATAGTTAGTGACAGAGTCCAAAATACAGAGAGAGAGTGAGCAAAATCACCCCTGATAGCTCAAAAAACCCATGAAAAATCAAGGACAGATACAACAAATAAGAAAAAAGGTCACCCCATAGGTGCAAGTGACAAAAGATGGTGCATTACTCCACCAATCACGAGCTGTTTATCTCTCTTAATTGCTGAGAGGCTCACTAGTGAGTCGAGGGAAGAGATTTCTGCGCCTTTGGCAATGATCTTTGCGTCCTCACTGTCCACCGTAGTAGTACCAGATGATTAGAGGGTGGCAAAAGTTATTGTCTTGTTCAAGAAAGGGAATAGGGATAATCCTGGGAACTACAGACCAGACAGTCTTACTTCTGTGGTGGATAAATTATTGGAGTGGATTCTGAATGATAGCGTTTTTGATTATTTGGAAAAGCACGGTTTAATTAGAAATAGTCAGCATGGCTTTGTGAGGGGCAGGTCATGCCTTACAAGCCTTATTGAATTCTTTGAGGATGTGACAAAACACATTGATGAAGGTCAAGCAGTGGATGCAGTGTATATGGGTTTTAGCAAGGCGTTTGATAAGGTTCCCCATGGTAGGCTCATTCAGAAAGTAAGGAGGCATGGGATTCAGGGAAATTTGGCTGTCTGGATACAGAATTGTCTGTCCAATAGAAGACAGAGGGTGGTAGTACATGGAAAGTATTCAGCCTGGAGTTCAGTGACCAGTGGTGTTCCGCAGGGATCGGTTCTAGGATCCCTGCTCTTTGTGATCTTTATAAATGACTTGGATGAGGAAGTGCAAGGGTGGATTAGTAAGTTTGCCGATGACACCAAGGTTGGAGGAGTGGTGGATAGCGTGGTGGGCTGTTGTAAGTTGCAGTGGGACATTGATAGGATGCAGAGCTGGGCAAAGAAGTGGCAGATGGAATTCAACCGGAAAAGTATGAAGTGATTCAGTGTAAAAGGTCGAATTGGAATGCTGAATACAGGGTAAATGGAGGATTCTTGGCAGTGTGGAGGAACAGAGAGATCTTGGGGTCCATGTCCATAGATCCCCCAAAGTTGCTACCCAAGTTGATAGGCTTGTTAAGGCGGCGTATGGTGTGTTGGCTTTCATTGGCAGGGGAATTGAGTTTAAGAGCTGCGAGGTTATGCTGCAGCTCTATAAAACCCTGGTTAGGCCACACTTGGAATAGTGTGTTCAGTTCTGGTCGCCTCATTATAGGAAGTATGTGGAAGCTTTAGAGAGGGCGCAGAGGAGATTTACCAGGATGCTGCCTGGAGTGGAGGGCAGGTTTTATGAAGAAAGGTTGAGGGAGCTAGGGCTTTTCTCTTTGGGGCAAAGAAGGATGAGAGGTGACTTGATAGAGGTGTACAAGATGATGAGAGGTACAAACAGAGTGGATATCCAGAGACTTATTCCCAGGGCAGAAATGACTATTACGAGAGGGCATAATTTTAAGGTTATTGGAGGAAGGTATAGGGGAGATGTCAGAGGTAGGTTCTTTACACAGAAAGTGGTGGGTGCGTGGAATGTGCTGCCGGTAGTGCAGGGGAGTCAGATACATTACGGATATTTAAGCGACTCTTGGATAGGCACATGGACGATAGCATAATGTAGGGTATGCAGGGTAGTTTGATCTTAGAGTAGGATAATAGGTCGGCACCACATTGTGGGCAGAAGGGCCTGTACTGTGCTGTTCCATGTTCAATGTTTTATGTTCTAAAAGAAGAGCAGACATTTCTGGAGAAACTCAGCCAGTCTAGCAGCATCTGTGGCAAGAAAGACCAAGTCAACGTTTTGAGTCTAGCAACCCTTTGTCAGAACTAATAACATGGTGGTAATTATGCCGATGACAAGGTGTGGAGAACCGGGAGCACAAGGAAGAGGGGGTTAAAAGGATCCAGGGGTGGCAAGAGAGAAAGAGAAAAGTGGGAAACAGTCAAAGGGATTACCGATAGCAAATCTAGGAGTAAATAAACGCTGCGTAGTTGGTAACAGGTACTGTGATGAGTTGAAAATGAGTTAACTGTGCTGGAAGCAAACTAAATCCTTGTCTTGTGGTCTCAACTTGATTAAGAAAAGTTTAATGTAGAGATTCTTGTACAGTTGACTTTTGGAAGTCAACATTCTAACAGGTTTGCCAGCATGCACTTTAAACAAAAGTATCAAAGGGGAAAGAAATTTGAAATTGCCAGAAGAAAACTAAAGAATGCTGGGGATTGCTAATTGCTTGCAATTAATTTTTGCAAGTATTGCAGCTGGGAGGAATTAGACCCTGTGTACAAACCACTGAGAAACAGAACCGGAAGTAATACCAACCACCTCAGCAAACCAAGGCATATAAGTAACAAGCGGGACAAAACATCAATGCTTCATCAGAGCCACACTGATGGTGTTACCTAGCAGGGTGACGAAATGTTTGCAACTAAACCCACTGGCTTGGCGAGCATTTCCACAACCCGAGCTACAAATCTTCTCAAATACTTTAAACATTTGCTGGCACAACACCCTCAAAATGGTCCACAGATGGGAAACAAATGCCATCCAGGTGAGCATGACCCACACACAACTGTACTTCCTGCACGAATGCCTCAGAAAGCAGGGACTACCACAAAGCTTAAAGCATAAACCACCTGTCAACAATCCACAGCACAGCTGAACAGAATGATAAGGGCTATGATCAACAATGCCCACAACTGCCTCCACAATTATGAATGGGAAATTGTGCACCAAAAAAACTCTGTACCCAAACGCAACCGACCAGGAACAGACAGCCACACTAGAACAAGCCACCAGCATACAAAAACAAAAGACCAGAACAAAGAAAAGAATAGCCCTTCCAGAAAAACTGTTCAAAAATCACCCACACCAATGACACAGACAACACAGATTCATAGATTAAAAACATCTCAGACCAAACACTTACAGACATGGAGAAAACTGTCCTGGTATGCAGACTGAATTGTAACTACAGAGAAGCTAAAAAGACCAAATTCCTGGCTGCGCTGGAATTGACACCAAAGAACAGCAGACTCATGGAAGAAGTACAACAGACCAATCAACAGATGATGATCCCAACAATGAGCAAAAAAAAAGGAAAGTGGAGCACATTCAACAAAAAAAAAAGAGAAAAGCCCTGGAAAGACTCAAGAAAGACAGGAACATTGTAATCTTACCAGCGGACGCATGACAGTAATCCTCAATACAGGCCAATACATCGAGAAAGCTAATGTCACTACTAGCAGATACCGACACCGATGGACCCGACACCACAGTTAGGGAACTGGATTACAACGACCCTTAAGAAATTACACAACTCAGGAGACATCAGTAAGACAGACTACCAAAAAATGAAGCCAGAGGAATCCAACACACCCTGATTCTACAGGTTCCCCAAGGTACACAAACCGGGGATCCCCCTCAGACCCACTGTCTCACCACCAGGCACACCAACATATATAGACTGGCCAAAAAACTACAACAGGAACTGAAATATTTAGTGGACAACACTACCCACGCCATCCACTCATTACCAAGGATACCAGGATAGAAGAGGACAAGATGATGCTATCCTTTGACATAACAGCACTACTTACATCCATAAACATCGACCTAGCCAAAGAAACAATTGCCACACTGTTGGACAAATCAAGTAGGCAGGCAACCCAGGACACCAACATCAATAAGGACACTTCCATGAAACTCCTAGGTCACAACTCCACCTCACAACCCACTTCACCTTCAACGACAGCATCTACAAACAAATCAACGGGACATCAATGGGATCCCCAATATCAGGGTTGGTTGCAGAAGCAGTAATGCAAAGGTTAGAATGGACAGTGCTCCCCACTACATAACCCAAACTTTGGGTCCGATATGTAGAAGACACCTTTGTGATTATTAAAATGTGCAAAACTAGAAATCCACCGACACAAACAACACCCTTACTGGGATAAAATTCACAGAAGTAGTAGTGAACAACAACCGACTACCCTTCCTGGGCACAATGGTAGAACGCAAAAACAACAGGGAACTCCAGACTAGTGTAGATAGAAAGACCACATACATGGACGAGATACTCAATTAAACTAGCAACCAGCCCAACGCCCACAAATGGAACTGCATCAGGACACTAGAACAGGACCACCTCTACGGAGTCTTCAAAAGGAATGGATAGCTGAAAAGCACAATCTACCGTTACCTCCAAGACGGGCCTCAACAGGAAGACACAACACGACCAGACTTGCTAATCACCCAAGTATACATCAAGGACATTTCAGAGATGACCACAAAGCTGCTCAGACCCCTAGGTATCAAAGTAGCCCACAAACCAACAAACACCTTATGACAGCTACTGATGAATGTAAAGGATCCCGTACAAAACCAGCAAAGCCAGTGTAATATACAAAATACCCTGCAAGCACCATGAGAAACACTGCAGAGGCC